CCCGATCATATAATAATAATAATAATAATAATAATAATAATAATAATAATAATAATAATAATAGTAGTAGTAGTAGTAATTATATTTATAAGAGTTTGAGATAAGTTAAATTTCTTGTAAATTTCATGGTATTGGTATATATACATGGTAAAAAAGTCCTTTACCAGGAATTTGACTTTGATCAACATGGATTGAGTGTTACACTTAACCCGAAACAATAACTAAGCAAATTATGCGAAGTATTCACCCAATACGAATTATTCAAAAAACAAATATGGGATTAAGATTTAATTGAACAACTGACATATGTGAAGTTTGTGTTCATACAATAATGTTTATGCTTGGAAGTGTGGACGTCATATATGTTCTGTTTTATTTCATTTTCAATTTAAATAAATTATATAACTTTTGGGCAAGTATCTAAAATAACTCAGAAGTTTAAGTAACAAGCTAAACAACAGATTAAACAATTTTTCTTATCTCTTTGACATAATCCAGCTACAATGTGATAAACATCACCAATAAACCAATGGAAATTTTACGTCCAGCATTCTTTATTTATGTGTACATTCTCAAAATTACTTATCCATCTTAATTACATAATAGCAAGCCAAACCTACTACCTAAACTAGTCAAATTTTAACATGATAAGGTCATATTAAAATCACGTGTCTATCTTCCATTCTGTAAAAATTAAACAAATAACATAAGATTTAAACATGACCTCTCTTGTACGTGTTTGAATATCCCAATAACTAATTTTTCTTGTCTCTGTTATCTCCGGGAGACCCAGAAGCGCTTCTGGGGCTAGAAAGTGGCAAAGGTGGCTGAAGAAACATCAAACTTGCTGCCTGTGTACTAGCGGGTGATTTGTTCAAGAAGCTTGATGCACAGCCACTCACTTTAGAAGACGAAGGTAATGCAGAAGATGATGGAAACAACTCACCCCATTTCATTTTCTGAGTCAGATTATTTTCCACAGCACCTTGGTTAGTGCTTCCTGAGCCAATAATTGTTGTAAGTGCTGCTGCCAAAGCTGACTGAAAATTAGGGTCTGCTGTGATTACTTTTGTTGCTGCAGCTATGGTGTCTGGCAGAGAATGTTGTGGTGGAGGGATTGGAATATTGTTGTTGTTGTTGTTCCTTTGCATGTAGGAGTTGAGGATGTTCTCCATTGGCTGTGGTTGTTGTTGTTGTTGTCTTCCAAGGTTTATGTTGCTAAGGAAATTCACATTGTTCCTATTGTTATTATATGGTTGTTGTTGTTGTGTGGTGTAGCTGAGGAACCCGTTATTGGTCCAAGATGTAGCATTGGACTCGTTTGAACCGAAGTTGAGGCTCGTGGAAGGGTACCTTTGTGAGTTGTAGTTTGAGTTTGAAGTGAATTTAACAAAGGGTGGTGAAGAAGAGGGTGGATTAGACGTGAGATCAAGAGTGATGGTAGGGTGTGAAGGTGAAGATGAGAGTGCAGGATGGGAGAGGTAGTATTGCTTTGATTTGGAACCATCTGATAGGAAGAAGTTCATGCCATGAAGATCTGCAGAAGTGGATGGTCTTGATCCAGAGTGTGAGGTTGATGAGCCGGATAATAGCATGGAAGCTGCTGCAGAAGTGGTGGAAGCCATGGCAGTAGCTGAAAGAGGAAGAGGGTGGTTGTGGTTACCTTCGTAGGTTGTGATTAGTATGGACATGTCTTGTGAACATCTTTGCACCTGAAATGTTAAGTTGCATATGTGGAGTTAATGTACAATATTAACTGTTCTATGTTACAACAAAAGAAAGTGTGTGAATGTGTGATATACATCTTTTGATACCCATATAAATAAATTGTATTTTGAAAGGGCTGTCTAACCTACTCCAAGTAAACAATCTAAATAGTAATTAGTGGAATTAATTATGCATGTTAAGATGGTTAGTATATTTTTTTTAATTGGATCAATCGTTTTCTATATATGAATCGTTGAACCCTATTTTAACTTAGAATAAGTTAAATATAATTGTATTTTGAAATAAAATATTTCTTTTATGCCATGCAATCTTTCACCTGCAATACTTTCACATGTATCATACACATTTTCAACATTTATTATTTCATTCTATTTATCTTTATATCTTTTTATATCACTATTTCTACTTACACTTATCTTTTCTCATTTATACGTTGACCAAATATCCATATATAAACTGAAGATAGTGAAAATATTATTATTGATTTCAAAATCATAATTTATATGTGACATAAAGTAGAGAGACATAAATCATAATAGTACTGTTGAAGTGCGCATCAATAGATAAATACCTGCTTTCTTACGGGGCATGATGGTGCAACTGTGCAACGATAGTAAGCTCGAGGGCAAGGATTTCCCTTTGAAATCTTCTGTCCATATTTCCTCCATTGACATCCATCATTCAACTGTTTCATAAAATCACTATGTCAAAGAATAGCATTTTCATATATTAATTAATTAAAGTCAAAACTGTTCAATGTAATCCTTAACCAACTTATAACCAAAAAACAAAAAAAAGTTGCTTGGAATTAATGAGCATGATATATATAAGAGACATGATACTTACAGTTGGGGTGTCACATCTTGCTCTGACACAAACTCTTGCTTTCTTTGTAGGGTTTTGCTGAGAAACTTCATCCTCTCCGGCATCTCTATTTGTCTTGTGTCCCTTCTTAGGTGGACTCTCCCCACCAGCTTCTTCCTTCGGTGCTTCAACACTATTATCAGGGCTTGCATTTGGCATATGTTCAGTGCTGCTTCCAGATTTCGATGTTTCAAATTTGCAATCCAGTCCAAGAGACAAGCCTTCTTTATCTTCTTCATCTTTCAAAGGTTTAGAGGCTTTAGCTTTCTCATTGCTTCTTGGAAGTCTTCCAAGACTGAGGGAAACTAGATCTGATTCCTCTATTATTGTTTCTTGATGATCATTATTTTTCACTTTGTCAGAAGAATCTTTTGTCTCTTGTTCAACTATGCTGTGGAATTGCATTTGCAGTGTACGGTAATCATTTAATATTCGGTTCAGACTCATCTTTAGTCGTTGATTTTCTTGTATCACTTCACCCATTTCGGCTTTCGCAGTTTCAAGTTCGTCAACCTGCAACCATCCATGCATTCATCAGACAAATCATACACTATACAACAATGTTTGTTTCAGTTTTTTTTTTTTTCCCCTTTTCCTTTTTATGACCATTTTTATTTACACTCCTTGAAAATGAAATGAGAAATATCGAGTGATGTAAACAAAAGAAAGAAAAGAAAAAATCAAACAAAAACTCTTTTTCAACAATGGAAAGGTCAATATGATTGTCTTTTCATAAGATATAACCCAAACAATTATGTCCGTAAATGAAGCTCGCTTCTAGTTAGACCAAAACGAGTACATTGTAATTATAATTATTATAGCTAAAGTCTGACCATTGAAAAAGATAAAATAAAATAAAATTATTATTGAAAAATCTAACCTCTTCCTTTTTGGTCGGGGATGCATTTGGTCCAGCCTCAACGGTAGATCTTTCGATAGTAGTGAGGGGTGGCTCCTGAAACATAAAAAAAAAAAAAAATTACAATAAAAAGTTAGTATGCATATACAAATGCAATTTTCTTGTCACTTTTCATTTCGCCTTGGAAGCGAGTATCTAAGAAGGGTTTAATTTTACCAATGGCTATAGTTTCTTATTCTTCATAATTGAAGAAATCTTGGATTACTGAATTCTAATGCCAGTAGAAACTATAATTCAACTAGCGGGATAAAATAGCGAGCGAAGTGTATGGAATGATGAAGAACTATGACAAACTGGTAATTTTTTCCTTTCTTTTATGAGAATCTTTCTGTTATGCATGTGCAATGAATTGTTATATTTTGGATATCAATAATATCATCGCTAGCTTTCCTGGCACATGCACGAGTCAACTCTTATCAATGGCGCAGATTAAATATTATATTTCATTTGAATCTATGTAAACCAATAAAAGGTAACGTGTCAATGATATATGCATGACAAGTGTTTTACTTTCAACAGTCTTTCCAAATTTTCATTAAAGCAAACAATTATTAACTATTAGTGTATATGTTAAGAATAAGCACTTTGCTGCATGTAGATCGATCGAGTATATATGATAAGAAATATAGAGAAAGTCATGTAAAAAAGCAGAAAAAATATGTAGAAACTCAATCTATCTTATCTTTTAAAAAATAAATACCAATAGATCTCTACTATTATATATATTTTCGTATTATTGGAATTTCTTATAAGGTAATTAAACTACTTTAATGCAACCTTAAATGCACATGTTGAAGTTATGAAAAATAATATAGTCAATAGAAAAATAAAGTGAAAAAGAAAAATAATGATAAATATTATATATCAATATTAAAATCAAATAATCATATCATAAATGAATATATGATGCAGTGTTTATTTAGCATATCAAGCAATCACAAAATGAATTTATAATCTACTACCAAAATCTCAAAAAAAAAAAAAAAAAATTCAATCTACTACTAGCTAGCTATGCATGCGCAATTCACTAATTTCAACAAATTGCTAGTTTTTATTTGTAGATCTAATAGAACATAAAAACGTACATGAACCCTTGCTGTATATATATATGATCAAATTACTTTTAACTATTGCATAAATAAATAAATGTTTGAACGGATTGTTTAAACAATATAGATGAATTCAACACGGGTAGATGATAATTTTACCTTGAAATTAATTTGAATTTGATTATCGGAGTGCTAAAAGAATGGATTGCAGATGTTGATAAAAAAAAAAATTGAGATCAGAACAGTTTGATTAATTTTTATTTAACCTTTTGACTAACAAATCACAAAAACCAGATACACAGGATCTTGAATGAATTCAACATATAGAAAGAAAGAAATCGATATATATTTAGTGAAGTTCGATGCTCATAATCATATACTTAGTTAGATATTAGCATAGAATTAATTTTCACCTGCATAACAATCTCTTGTTCACGACGATCTTCTTCATCGCCAATACTGGATTCACTTCTCTTCTCGTCCTTGACTTCATGACCAGATATTTCCGAACCAAACTCCATATTCTGAAAGATAACTTTCCTTTCTTTCTCTCTTTCTGCGTTGGGTCCGCAAACAAGGCCCTCTTCCTATGTTAATATAGAGAGGGACCTGCATGAAGTATTTGACTCTTGAAAAGAATTAACAATTAAAATGATAACTATTCATTAGAACTCGAGGTAGCCAACACGGATACACACGTACATTAAAATGTCAAACGTAGACCAATCCAATTGCACTAAAAGAAAAGAACGAGAGAAAGGCATTATAAGAGTTAACTAATGTTCAGTCTTGAGAAAATATTTAATAAGTGGAAGAATTCAACTTCAACGTTTGAGACAATATGTCAGCGAAAGTGAAAGAGGGGTTGAAGCCGCAATGGTCGGACACCGCCTACTATACAAGTGGCATCGTTGAACTTTCGAACTTTGCAAGAGTCACATGGGACAAATAGGGTTTCATGGTCAAACTTTTTGCCACCACTCATGACCAAATTAACCCTTCTTTTACATAATTTAATTTATTTACCATCAAAAGCACTTTTAATAACCAACGATTCTTGATCTAAATAGAAATCAATTCAATTTCTTTTTAACAAAATCTCATTTGAATTTTATGATTGAAAAGATGTGATTGAGAATAAATATATGATGGTCGGTTATTTATTTTTCTAATAGAGATTAGTTAACTATATATCAATAATATGATTATTAAAAAAGTTTAATGTATTTTTCTTTCTAAATAAATTTTATGTTACCCTTGTGATGAGCTACTTTGTCTTGCCTTGGCTTGTTAAATATCTGCCGAAGAGGATGACTCCATATATAAAACAAATCATTCATGAGACTCGTTATATGTGCTGACTTTAATTTAATTAATTATATTATACCAACTAGATATCTTAAACTATTTTACTACCAAAATATAATATATCCACGTTATCCCCTTTTACTTTTTTTCTAATTCCCTTTGTTTTAATTTGTCTTTTTGTGGCAAAGAATGCAGCCACACACATTCACACCTAGATATATATAGAGAATTAAGATGGGTCAAAGTAGGGCATATGAGAATAACGCTTCCTGATTGGTGCATGCCATGATCTATTAAGGATAGATAGCTAGGGTTTCAATGTACTTGTCTGTGCGTACCATATAATGTATGTTTTAAAATAATGCTTTTCTGTGATGACACGAACACAGTTGCAAAATTACATACTTATTGATTGATTTATATATTAAATATTAGTTTTTCTTAAAGTATGAAAAATACGTGTGTAACAGCAATTCATATGCACAGGTTATAAAGTTACATGATGATATATTCAATTTGGAGACATGTAAGCAATCACACTAACAATTTCTTACTAATATTCTAATTAGATAAAAAAATCATAAATCTTAATTTTACTATTATTAAATTAGGAAAGACACTCATTAAATGAAATACAAAACACACAGAATTTATGATTTTTAATAAATTTCTTTCAATTATAAAAAAAAAGTGTTAGAAAGAGAATTTGTTAACATTTCTCATTCATTTAAAAAGAAATTCATAATTTACGAAATTTCAAGCAATTATATGTATCAACGGAAGTGAACTTTGTAACCCAGCGAGAAAATAAAACAAAATCCATATTTAATGTATTTCTCAATGACACCAATTAGGTGTGGTTGATATATAGATAATGATGATCTTTAAACATATAGTTAAAAATTCAATCTCTAAGTTTATGTCTAAGAAAGAAATAATATTGTTGGAAGGGTTAGATTTTAAATAGATCGTCAGTATAAATATTAGTTCCTATTTGAGAAATTTATTTTTATCAGCAAAATATAATATCATTGAGATGGAGAATAAACGGTACAAGAAATATTCAATCCATACAACCTTAAATTGATATTATTATCCAGTATAATAGATGAATTGGAACTACTATCTTGATCCCTTATAAACCATTTTTCAATCACCTTTAACCCGCATGATAATGATAGACAAACTTCTAAATTGACAACTCATTGATTGAATGAATGTATTAATTCTAACAAAAGTTGGGAGGATGTGAGCCAAGACCATGAAGTGAAAAATGTATCTTGTATTTCAAATTTTTTTTTTTTGTCTAAGGCATTTCCATTAAAGAAAATTATTTTTATACCTCAAGATACACCACGTGTTAGCATACCATATATACAACTTTCCATCTTTATTTCTCCACTTCAAATATCAAACTATATGGAGTTTGATCAAAATATAGAGTAGGATCATTACACAAAAATATAAGGGTCTCAAACTAGTAAAAATATTCTTTCCAAAGCCAATATATACTTCATGACAAGAGAAATAAATGTGTGACACCGACTTTAATTTTAAGTGGCAGAAGGGACAAGAACTAGCCACTGAATGTGGTAGAACTCTCCATCTAATTAAGTTTTCAAGAGTTGGTAATTTATTACAAATGATCCTTCATATTAGAAATGTCACCTTAGGTGGAACCTTGATTTTTCAAACCTGTGAGAAAATAACATTAATTTTTCTCCCAAATTTCATGGTGTATAGAGCTTTAAAAGTCTCATTAACAGTGAAATACCCTGTGGATTCAAACAACCATAACCACTTGTCTCCCTTCATGCATTTTTACATTTGATAAAAGTTGTTGAAAAGCAATTAGTTGATTACTCTCCTATTGAACCCAATTTCTTCTCCAATTAAGTTTCCAAACCCACCTTTCATCTTCCCATCTTCCCATGTTTGTTATCAATTCATGTCACTATTCCAAAGTCAAGAACAACCTACTTCTCCCAGTCAAATGCAGAAAATGAATATCTTGGATTTAAACATGTTACACAAAGAAGCAACTCAATATTTGCTTCTATGAAACGATTGTTTAACTCTTGAAGTTGTTGATCAATCACTTGAAAAAATAATTCAACTTGAAAATATAATTTTAATTAATGTAATGTTCATAACATACAATGTTTATTCTAAACATAAAAATAGAATGAGTAAATAAAAATTAAAATATCGAATTTCTCATTGAAAATAAAAAAAATAATTCAAATAAAGTAATATAAAAATAATAACTTTAAATACACTAACCTCAAAGATCACTTTAAATGTATCGTTTAGTTATTAAAACATGAAGGAGTAGAGATGGAAGAAGTTTGTTTTTTTTTTCCCCCAATTTTACTCTTCTACACTTTAAAATATGTTAGAGGTAGAGGAAAATCTCAAAATATGAATAGAATTGGAAAAAGTAAAAAGAAAAAAGAAAAAAGATATAAAATATCCAAAAAGAGGTTAATAACAACTTACAGTTTTTTTTATACTTAAAATACATATATTATTAATTTATAATTTTTTTTATTTTGATTTACAATTTAAATACATAATAACTTTGTTTTTATTTTAAAACCTTTTTATAATATATTAAAATATATTTTTTAAATCTTTCTTCTCACACAAAGATAATCGTAACAAGACTCAAATTCAGTTATAATCTTATAAAATTTTAATTTTCTTTTAATTTTTTTTTCTTCTATTTTTAGATTTTAAATAAAAATAATATAATATTATATATATTA